AAAGATATTTGGACACTTGATTGATAAATAGCAAGACTCGAGCTACCGCTATTATGTGCTTGTTTATTCTTTCAACTAACCCATTTTGTTATTGAATGTTGACATAAGAGATTTGATGAATTGTTCCTTTTTCTTGAAAGAATTGAACCAATTTTTTTTTTGAAATATTCCCGGCTATTATCACTCTGTAAAATTTGAATAGTTGTTTGAAATTTGGTTTGTACCGTGGTGACAAATTTTTCTACTTTCTATTTTTTTTATTAAATAAATCCAACTTAACTTAATGTTGTCATTAGTGGAAGTCACAAACCATTTTTTTAGAGTGTGGATTTTACAAGGATCTCAAATATTCCTATGATCGAAGTAAATGGTGTAGTAGGTTTTTATATTTGTGGGGCAACTGATTTGTGATGATGTTTAACAAACTGATACCCTTCACATTGAAACGACACATTTTTATTATGAAATAATTTGGAAAATAAATATTTTAGATAATGAAAATTAGGATGACACAACCTATAATGACATAAGATAATTTGATCGTCTTTAGAAACAGAAACATAATTTAAACTAATATTTTGACATTGTCTATTCGAGTCGAGTTAATTTTTAAAATAATAAAGTCCAACATTTTTCTTAACTCTATCAATCATCCTCCTTAGGGTCAATTCATGAAACTCACAACAAGAATAATTTTGAAGTTAGATTGCAATTGATGATCAGTAATAATTTAACTAATGGGCAACAAGTTACATGATAGATTAGACACATGGAGAACATCCTGAACGTTTAACAATGAGGAAAGTTCAACAGTTCTTATTCCAACAACTATCAAGAGGAATCCATCGACAATTTTGACAATTTTATTGCCAGCACAAAACTTATAAATGGAAAATAATTTAGAGCAAATCGTCATATTATCATTTGAGCCTAGGTCAATTATCCAAGAGTGAGAAGAATAAAGATTAACAACTAACAAAGCAGTGGTTAGAGAGTTACCCATTTGTACTAAAGAGCAAGATGATGCCGAGGATAATTATGGAGATTGAAATAATTTTGTATGTGTGTAATTGCTCCTTGAAAGGGATTGCTTGCATGCGAGTTAGCATATGGCTCCCAAGTTCCTTCAGCAATCACTTGATAAGCTCAACCTTTGTGCTTGGATTTTGATTTCCAATTCGCAGGTATTTCATGAAGCTTCAACATGCCTTCTTCATATGTTATGGTTTTTTGCATTGCTCGCACCATAGCTTTTTCCGTCCATCTTTATCAGTATCAATCCCTTCGACACAAGGGTCGAGTTCTCCTGTTCAATGTTACCAGACTATTCAGTTTTTTTCAGTTCTCCTGTTCAATGTTACCAGACTATTCAGTTTTTTTCAACATAATTTTTCTTCTTGTCTCTTCATGTCTAACTTCAAAAAAGATATATCGGATTAAGGGTGGAGATTTCCTACTAAGCATTCAACCTTGAATGTCATCTAAACATCGATTAAGACCAACTAAGAACATGTAGAACTGATTGTTTTCCTCTCATTTTTTGTGACGAGCATTGTCAATCAAATTCTTCCAAATATAATCATAACATCGATCAGACTCCTGCTATAATGTTACCAACTCATCGTAATACATAGTAATATTAATGTCATAATTTTTGGACTGCCATTTTCTCAAGTCTAGATCATTGGCAGTATGTTTTAGGAATTCTCCGGTTAAATAAGCAATTTTGCCTCTTCGATCGAAGCCGCAGAAAAGCCACAAACACATACGAAACCAAAAGAAGACTGTGATGTCGAGGAAGTTGAAATGAGCCCCTAGCCAAAAAATAAAAGAATATAAAGGCTAACCTTCTAAAGCTCTGATACCATGTAGTATTTGTGAAGGGAAAAATTATTATTCCTCCTCAATTGCATAGAAGAACAATTACAAGTTAAATAAAGGAGGATAGCTGCCAGTTTGGGAAAACAATAATATCAACCATGATTCCCATAATAAGAGAAATGAAACAAGAATTATGACATACCAATACTAGACAATAATAAAAGTAGAAAATATTAGTAGTAGGATATGCTAAATGTCCAACAATAGGTTTTGTGAGAAGATAAAATAATTATTCCACTTGCATTTCATAAGAGACGTTTACAAGATAAATAGCAGAGGAAGATCATCAAGTTAAGAAAGTCACAAAAAACAAACCCAAAATCAGTAAATCCTCATGATAGAAAATAGGAAATGGAAGTTACCAAAATTTGAAATAATAATTTCAAATTTTATTTGCAAAATTAGAAAATTATAATTTCTCTTCTAAAAATTCAACACCCCCTCAAGTTGGTGCATGGATAACTATCATTTATAACCTGCTTACAAAGAGCGCAAAACTAGTCTCGAAAAAATCATTTGGTGAAGATATCTATTATTTGTTGTGCAATATGATTAAAAGACATGCAAACAACTTCACAATCAGTCTTCTTTTTTATGAAATGGTTGTCCATCTCCACGTGCTTCATTTGATTATGTTGTATATGATCTTGTGCAATGCTTATTGCAGCTTTATTGTCATGGTACGCTTCATTGACATGGTTATTGAGATCCAGACCTTTTAAAAAATTCTTTTCAACTAATAGCATCTCACATACTCCATTAGCCATAGCCCTTTATTCTGCCTCGACACTGTTTCTTGCAGCCACATTTTTCTTACTTCTTCATGTAACCAGGTTTTCTTAAACAAATACAATATCTGGATGTCGAACTCCTGGAATAACTCAACTTGCTCAATTCGAATTATTGTATGTCTCTATGTTCTGTTGTGTTGTCTTCTGAAAGTGTAAGCCTTTGCCTAGTGTATTTTTTAGGTATATAAGAATAACCTAACTTATAATTTCATAACATAATATCATTGTCTTTAGAAACAAAATTAATTTTTAAACAAGTATTTTCATTTTGTTTACTCCGGTCAACTACATGTCAAAATAGTAGAGTCAATCTTTTTACAACACTGTCAATTTTTCTCACAATGGTCTATTATTGAAACTGACAATAAGAAGTGTAAAACTTTGCTCGACACTAGTGGTCAAATGTAATTTTACTAATGAATAATAAGTTACAAGATAAATTAGGAATATGGATCACACGTAAAAAATTAACAATGAAGTAAGTTTGAGAGTCCCTGTTTTGGCACTTTCTGAGAGGTAATCATTTGTAATTTTTGATAATTTTATTGCTTGCACAAGGTCTATATGATGATAGCAGTCATAAGTCATATGATTAGTTACACCATAATTAATTATCCAAGAATGAATAGAATTAGGAATAAGACCTAAAAGCACAGTGGCATGAGAGTTATCTTTATGTAATAAAGAATATGAAGAAGTCAAGAACAATTTGAGAAATGGAAACAATTTGTTCAGGTACTCTAATTACTCCTTGGTAAAAGGGACTGCATTTAAGATAGTACATCAACAACAACTTCATAAGTGCGATCGCTTTTTGGAGTTTGGTTTTTAATTTGTTGGTTTATCATGAAGCTTCCAACATGTCTCCTATGTATGCCATGGTTTTTTGCAATGCTCGTATCACAGTTTTATGATCTTCATTGCTACTATCAATACCTTTTGACATAAGAGCCGAGTTCTCAAGTTCAAGGTTAAAAAAAGGTTCGATGTTGTGCAAGGTGATTTTCTTTCTCGACTCCTTACATCCAGCCTCAGAAAAAACTTCTCAATTAGAAGGTAGTGGCTTCCTATCGAGCATGTGACCTTGTATCTCGTCTAAACTCCAATTAAGGCCAGCTAAAATTAAATAAGCCAGATTATTTGCTCTCACTACTTATGACGAGCGTAGTCATTCATATTCTCTCAAATGTCATCATAATATTGATCGAGCTCCTAACATTTTCACCTCATTGTAATACATAGTAACATTACGATCATTTTGCTTGGATTTCATAGTAGAGTTTTCATCTAAAAACTTTGAGAAAAATTCCTCAGGTCTAAATAAAGATCTCGAATAGTCTCAGATATATTGAGCAATTAGAATAAATATGTGGTGTTTTCTAATGGTAGCTTCCTTGGAGTTGATAAGCCAAGCAATTACAAGAGAGTTTTTGGACCATCATTTTTTCATATTAGAGCCACCAAATGTACATATCAAAATTCACTAGTTACATGTTCAATTTTATCTTTTACATCAATTGTTAATCTTATGGATTGAGCCTACTCGAGATAGTTGTGTCCATAGAGTTTTGTAACCATTAGGTAAGGGGTTGACTTTTGGGAATAATAATCAACAGATGTTGGCGTGAGAGGAGTTGTAGGGTGAGGCAAAGTAGTTTTGGAAATACTGGTAGCGATAGAGACGGTAGGTTTCTTTTGGGTGCCGGCCATTGCTAACTTATAGGTTTACTATTAGGCTTCTAGTTAGCTGGCTTGCCCTTTTCCCATTATTCATAAATCTTTATAATGTGCAATGATTTTTTCTGCTTGTTTTGTTGATTCATTCTCAGAATTTGATCTTGTCACAATTGCACTAATGTCACCCATACTATTTTTTTAGTCCCTCATACATTATAGCGTTTTACTCTTTCTAATCACGCTTTTCGATTTTTGTGAAGCCATAGTTGAAAAACTAGCGAGTTAATTCAGTTGGATTATGTTACTGCTAAATAAATCTAGTAAATTCAACAAAGTGGAATTGTGTAGAATTTCTGTGATCTGAAATAGTCAGTTTGATAATGAAATTTCAACTTGCCTCGTTATAATATTAAACCAAGTTTCATAGTTTGCAAGTTTAGGATGAAGCGTTTTTAATCATATATTATTCCGTGTCGCTTGGTTTGATTCTATTATTAATGTGCCCAGTTTTACTCTCTTGAAGTTAGAAGTGTTGATGTCGCTATTATTCTATAACTTTGAACAAAATAGCTGTATTTCATTTGTAAATTGATATATATATTAGATTTTACTGCATGTGTTACATTACTAATGTTAGTTGTATTCTAGTAGGTCGTTATTCCAATTGGAGACATCCATGAGGTATGTTGCAATATTTTAATTTTTTTTTTATTTTATTCCTTTTTTTTTCTATGCATATAGTGCACATGCAAGGAAACGTTGAGACTACCTTTTTATTAGCAATGCAGATTAAGAGAAGCCAGCATGCATATATCAACCCAGCGATAACAATTATTCTTCGCATGGGTGCTGGTGGGCATGGTGTACCTCCTTTGGGAAGTCCTGACGGTAATGACTAATTTCTTACTGTATATCTTTCAAAAGTTTTTGTGAGAAATGTGCTGTCAGCTTATATTATTGAATAATCTACTATGATATCCACTAAGTTGTTATCATTGCCCTGTAAGCTTGGTGTTTTAAGAGTTTTCATGACCTCTTCACCAATATGTGATTCATTTGGTTATCATTTGTGAATTACCATCTATCATAATTCTTTGACTCGCGATTGCAAAATTTAATATTGAAATTAGTGAGCACAATTATTTTAATCCTTTTTCTTCAGGCTTCAATCATGTTCTTTTTATTTTTTTATTTTACCAGCTCTCTGCGATCCCTTTAAACTGTAATTTTACTCTAGCCTATTGGAAGGATGAGATTTGGAATTCTTATTTGGTGGTATTTGATGGTCTAATTTTGCCCTATCTCAGTTCTGAAGTTGCAGTTTTTGTTACCTTACAGAATCACATTTGACAGTAAATTGGTTTGCTTATGGCATCTAGGTTTTGACAAATATTAGGAATGTCTTACTGATCGGAGTAGTGTTACAATATATGTAGTGAATTTCCTTGGATATGTATGTATCTTATAAACCACCTATTTGATAATGCATGATCCTAATCAACTCTTCATTGATGTTGCCATTAGTGATTTTACATTGAATTTATGCTTAAATTACTTTCCCTATTTAGCTTATATTATCTTTAATGTCTTGGATTTGTCACTAGGAATAATTAAGTCTTTGTGTTTATAACTCATACTATAAAGGGTTTCTGAACTGTAAAGTGGAGACTTGACTATTTGATAATATGCTAAGTTACATGACTAACGTGCAAAATGCATTTTTTGTATGGATATATTATTTTGTAGGTGTTTTATCACTAATTTTAACTTGCAATCAAAGAATATTTTTTTTTTATAGCTTTAAAATCAAATTTGTTTCGACTCACTCTACTTGTTAACCTATATTTTGAAAGGTAATATAAGTAAGTCAAACACTAAGTGAGGAGGCATAAAAATGGAAATCTTTTGAATTTGATCAACTTTTTACTACTGATAAGTGCTTGTTATGTTAGAAAAAATAAGTGAAACAAGGAATTTCTTATAACATGTTAATTAGAACTTCCAGTATAGAGCATTCTAATCCAATTGTAAAATTGCACTAACCTTTTCCAATTAAAAAATTATTTCCTTCAAACATATGGATTATGAGGTATTCATGAAGTTTAACACTGGGCTAGCAGTAGCTTACTTTATCTGATTGTTTTCCAGGGAGAGTTAGGTACAAGTTTGCTTCTTTTTGGAACAGAAATCACACACTTAGAGCTCTACAACGTGCTGCTAAGAACTACCGGGCAATCTTAGAAGCTGAGAAGAAGGTTTGATCCCTTTATTTTTGTGAAATAATTAATATCAACGTTGCAACGGCGGTTATGATTTCTAAATCCCTGAAAAAGCTGTCAACTATATATTCATTTATTTACATAGGTGCTATTGCACTTGAAACAGAATCAAAGTCGAACTGAAGTATTTAAAGGGAATCTTGCAAAACTTAAGGATGGAGAAGATCTAAACCACCTTTTTCTTGCTGTATTTATGTTTTAATTTCACATGTAATAATCTTCGTTGCTCATGGTGGGATAAGACCTCAACTTTCAATGTGTGCCTTCACTGATGCCGTGAAGCTGGATATGATTGCAATTGTCTTCAAATTTTTGGTAGGATGACACGATTTTGCATATAATATCTCACTCTATATTCCTGTCCTTCTGATGAACTGGTACTAACTAATAACTAAGTTCCATTGTTACTGGAATTTAGACTACATGATCTAACGATTTTAACCTGATTCTGAATCTCTATTCTTATTTGCTAGCTCTGGCTTTTATAGTATTTGATGGAATTTTGTATGGGTGATTTTGGTTTTCATTTTACTTAATTAGTTGTTCCTTTAACTTCTAAAATCTATATCTAAATATTAATTGTCATAAAATTACTAAAACCTTTTCCAAGTCACTGTCATTAATCTAAAACTTGTTATTATTAAATTTGACCTGTTGATTGAATTTTTTTGAAAACATGAAATCACTTACTTTTCATAAACTTACTAAAACCTTTTCCAAGTCACTGTCATTAATCTAAAGCTTGTTATTATGAAATTTGACCTGTTGATTGAATTTTTTTGAAAACATGAAATCACTTACTAAGTTCTATGCTTCGAACTATGGAGCAATTTTCCCACGTTTAATGTAATTTAATTTAGGGATTTATAGTTATTTGGGTATATACTGACATCATCTAAATTAAAAAAAAAAAAAAAACTCTCCAGTCATTTCTGGTGTATAATACATACTCAAATGTGTTTTCTACATACTAGGATGCTTGAAATTTTGTTTTTTTGGTTATATTTTATTTATGTAGGTCAGTTGAATATGATATAGATGTAAAATAACTTGACAATGCCCCTTGTAATGCAGGAGAATGCTCAGTCAGCATTGCGCGCTCACAGTAGCTCAATTAGAAGCAGCCGAAAACTAATGGGCATAGCAGACATACCAGAATCAAACATAGCTGAGACTGGAAAGTTACAGGATTTCATCAAAGAAGATGTTCTAGTTGGCATAGTTAACGTATATGTCTTCCTGACATTTTTTCCATAATTTCCTTTTAATTGTAACTAACCGTTTCTTTATTCATTTTGTAGGATACTTTCCCATGCACAGCCGAGGAGTTCTTTAATTTTTTGTTTAGTGATGATTCAAAGTTTATTGAAGAGTATCGTTCAGCTAGGAAGGACACAAACCTTAATGTATGTGATTTTTCTTTTTATTTGTGCTCTTATTAAATTTCAACCGGTAGTTTCTATCCAAAGTATATCTTAATTCGCAGTGATTTTTAGCCATATTTTCTAAAAGCTTGCAATCTCCATTTTATTAAGTCAAGCGGCCTTTAATTTGCTTGTACTTGATTCATTATGTTCTGTGCTAGGAGCTTCGTAATGGCTTAAATACATTTTTTTGGTTGCCATGATTAATACAAGTTGCATTACTTTTGACTGTTTTTTTCTAGTTAAGGTTGTCCTTATCAACGTATGCCCTTATTTGTAAAGCAATCTCCATGAATTATGGCTAGGTCAGCCCCTAACATGCCATATCATTGACCGTGTGCTCTTGAATGTCGTCTCGTCAATTTGCGTGCTCTAATTTTTTATATAGCTGAATTTTGCTCTTAATCTGATGTACTTCATACTATATAATTTTTTTAGTGTATACAATAAGTCTCAAAGGATAGAATTCAAGCACAAATCAAGCCTTTCATTTTTAGTTAGGTTATTTGAGCACAAGGTATGCTTTGTGAATGGTCGTTCACTTAGCAGACCTGTGAAGTTCCCTGGTAGATTCTGTGAAGAGCCTTAAGGATACCATCATTGTCGTCATTTGAGTCATTAAAATATCTTGAATGTTTGCCCCGAGCTTCTAGAACTTGCTCAGAAATCTTGCTCCCAATCCAAACAACTCCCAGGAAAGACCTTGGATCCAACTTTTGAGTTGAATCGGTTTGCTTGAATTTGCTACGCCTTCTTAGGATATGGGCTTCACTTCTCTTCTCTTTCTTTCTTCTTCCTTCTCTTCTTTACTTTATATCGCTCCACTTCCGTTTCCTGGCTGCTAGCCCCAAGCAGCGGAAGCAGCTTTTCTATTTTTATGCCTTAAGCAGTCACGGGATGTGGGGAATTAGCTTTTAAAAAAATATACTTACTAATATGTTAGAATATATATATATATATATATATGTATATATATATATGAGAAAGCCCTAGGGCTAATATATTAAAGAGAAAGAAAGATACAGATAGATTGTATGAGAGGGTCCAAGCATGACAACCTACCCACACGGAAAACACCTCAATTGATGACATCTATTGAATTATGTTGCGATAGTTAAATTTTTATAGTGATGCTCTTTTTCTTTGCAGATGGGCCAGTGGCATGTTGCTGACGAGTATGATGGCCAAGTTCGAGAGATAACATTTAGATCCGTTTGTCATAGCCCCATGTGTCCTCCAGACACCGCAATGACGGAGTGGCAACATGTTGTTCTCTCTGCTGATAAAAATACTCTGGTGCGATAAATTGATTTAACCTATATGTTAACTGGGAATATTGCTCTAGTTAGATTGATTATGGCTTTTTGATATTGAAGTAATATTCTTTTCTCTGACCATCCACAATATGATTGCATTTGATTTATGTTTAATTTTTTTGAAGATTTCTTTTGCTGCAACTAATGATTGACTCAAAATTTTCAGGTTCTTGAAACTGTGCAGCAGGCACATGACGTTCCGTTCGGGTCTTACTTTGAGGTATTTAAAAGTTTTTTCATTGATATCTATTATATTCATTTAAAATAAAGTTATAGGTTTGGTTTCTGATTTTAATTTCATAACTTTAACATCTCTATTGAAAGTATGAGAAGGAAAAATTACTTCATTCAATTATTCACATGAAGAGTACACTCACACACACACACACACACACACACACACACACACACACATAAAGGAATAGCCGGAGGCTATTATACGAGCCCCGACTATCCCTCATGTGCCTAACAATTCGAGTACCACACCCTATACTCATAGGGATTCGAACCCCAGACCAGAGGGGACTTACAATTGACAAGCAAATGCCCAACCAACTGATTTGAGTACGTGACACACACACACACACACATATATATATATATATATCTGTGTGTGTGTGTGTTTGTGTGTGTGTACATGTATAAAATTAATCCCTCTTTACAAACTTACCAAATATATCTTGTCTAATTTAGGAAAGGAAAATAATTTATAAATAAAGAAACATAAAATAGAAAGGGAATAAAACTAAGGTTTTTTCAATGATATTCCCAATAAAATATTTCCATTATTTTGTGAAAAAGTTGGCCGACCCACCATGAAGAGAAGCCGAACTTCTCAGCTTTCCATGCACCCCGACAAACTGGGTCATAAATTTTATAGAAACCATGTAGAGACCAAGCTTGGAATTGAACTCTGAGATGGTGCTTAAAGAAAGACTTTGGATGAAGACTTCAACAACTTATTTGTGTGTCGAGATGTAGCTCAGCTATATAAGTCCACCATTAACATTTTTCGGAGGTAAAATGCCTATTAATTTCAATATATTTGGCCCTGTCACGATGCACTTAATTTTTGGTAATATTGATGGCTGTTTGAATGTTACAAAACATCTGTATAATCCTACTGGAGGTGCACCCAAATTTCTTTAATAATTTCTGAATCCAGACCCTTTCACAGATTCCTAAGGCGAGTTACCTGTACTTTGATTCAACACTGCTTCTAGAAATAATATCTTACTTATTACTTTTTTATGTAACCACATTTTCCTATAAAATAGAGCAATAACCTGTGTTGGACCTTTTGTCAGTGAGTTTCCCAGTCCAATTTGTATTAGTGGACTTCTACCTTTCAATTTGTGGCTTTTTAAAAAATTAATTCATAATCAAAAGTATTCTTGAGGAACCTCAGAATCTTGTACACCATCTCCAAATTCTCTATGTTTGGGTTATTCATGTGTTGGCTCACAATGATGACATAATATGTAATATCGGTTCATGTATGTGACAGACACATGAATTTTTCAACCAATACTTACTTTTCATATCTTTCCTCGTCCATAGATACACTTTCTTCTCTATCAGATTTCTTTTTGGGATTCATTGGAGTTTCGCAGACTTGCATCCAATCATTTGTCCTTTTTAGTAGATTTATGTTGTATTTTCTCTGTGATATAACAATGTCTTTCTTGGACCTTGTTACCTTCATACCTAGAAATCTCTCATGGTTCCTAGGTCCTTAATTTCTAACTAAGAGGCAAACAATTCCTTGATCTTGTAAATCTCCCTTTCATCATCACCAGTAAGAATCATATCATATACTATCAGTGCATCAGTCTTAACTCCCTGAGTGTGCTTTATGAACACAGCATGATCAGCTTAACCTTAAGCCCATAGAGAGACTTCATGTGTTTGCATGCTAAGTATTCTTGGAATCATTCTCAAGCCATGGTAGTATCTCCATATACATTTCTTTCATATTTTCATTCAAGAATACATTTTTTATGTCAAATTGATGCAGCCCCCATTCCTTGTTAACTACTACTAAAAGAAGAGCTATGATAGTGTTTAGTTTCGTAACTAGTATGAAGGTTATTTGATAGTCATTCCGATAGGATTGATTGAAATCTTTTGTAACAAGTCTTGTTTTGAATATTTCAATATGCTCGTCAGCCTTTTATCTGATGTCGAACACCCATTTGTTATCGTAAGAGAGTATAATAGGATGAATTTGCACACTATCAAGAGCTTCATAAATGGATTTATGAATTTGCACAATATCAATGTTAGAAATAAAGTCTTTGTAGAATGAGGATAGCTTCTCATAAGTTACATACTCATGAATTTGTTATCTAATACAAGGGCTTTGGTTTGAGCAGTTCTGTCCTTGCAGTTGTCTTCCACCTGCTGAAAATATTTCTTCTTGTTTAGATTCAAAGTTCTTTGTTATGGACTTCAGGTTGGGTATGTTAGATTGGTTGGCATCCTCTATCGGGATAAAGAGGGATAGGTGGAGTAGCTAGTGAGGCTGTGTAACTGTCATCATTTGCTTTCTCATCCTGAATATCAAATTTGTAGTAGTAGGATTGATTTTAAAAAAATATGACGTTCACGGGATTGTAGTTTTTTAGTAATATGAGAGTAACACTTATACTCTTTTTTATTGGAGGCATAATAGAGAAACATACACTTTATAAATTTACCTTCAAATTTTTGTATTTTTTAGAATGCAAATGAACAAATGCCCAAAGATTTTAAGTGGTGTTGTAGAAAAGTAAGATCTTATGCGAGGATTTGTAATCATCAAAACATGAAGAGCAGTTTTGAAGTTAACTTCTTGGTTCGACATTCGATTGATAAGGTATGTTGCAGTAAGAACTGCTTCCTTCCAAAAATATTTTAGAATTTCATGGGAAATCATAATTGAGCGATATACCTCAAGGAGATGTTTTTTTTTCTATCAGTCATCTCATTTTGTTGTGGGAGATCAATACATAAAGTCACGTGGATAATTTATTTTTTGAAAGATAAGATCTAATGATGGAATTGAAATATTCATTTGCATTATCAATTTTGAGATCTAATTTATTCATTAGAATTGAGTTTTAATCACATTATATATGATTTGGAAGATTTGGACCACTTCAGATTTGTCCTTCATAAGGAATGCCCAAGTAGTTCTATTGTGATTGTCAAGAAATGAGACAAACCATCTAAACTTAGTGTTTTCACCTTTGAAGGTCCCCAAACATCATTGTGGATGATGAAAAAAGGGAGTGAGGGTTTGTACTGGATCATGACATAAATATTTCTCGCATGTTTGACAAGTTAACAAATCTCACATTGATAAGAATTAAGGTTTTTATAGATTAACAAATGAGGATATAATTTTACAACATAATTGAAATTAGGCTGACCGAAACATGTTTTATATTTTGACACTAAAAAATTTGAGGTAAAAATAGATGTGGGATCGTTAATGTTCTTAGAGAAATCTTCTTTGATCTGATGTAAGCCTTGATGCTTTTCACTATTGCCATTTCCTTTCCGGACTCAATCCAAAATTCACAATAGTTTGTTAAAAATTTAGTTATATATTTTATAGCATGGGTATGCTTACTAATTGAATCAAATTGTAGTCCAATTATGGGACATATAAAACAGAGGAAAGAGTAATATCTTGAGAGAGCTCCACATATCTTTGTCAACAATTTTTTAGTGTGATTCATCCTCAAGTTTGACCAATTTAGTTGTAGAAGTCTCTTGATAGTTGACTAGAGCATCGATATCTCTAGTCAAATGATCAGAGGCTTTTGAATGTATGACCCAAGTGCTAAATCTCCCTTTACTGGCAAAATATGAGAAGAATATTTTTCCTTGGTGTGTCATGAGGTTGCTTTGTTATGAATTACCTTCAGGAGTTTTTTAGCAGTTTAGGGTCCTTTGGACAATATTCCTGGTCTTTGATTTAGAGTTAACCTTCGAAGTAGAACTTATTGTCTTCATTCCTTAGTCATAATCCCTATGTGTATTTCATTTGCTGCTAGTTGCATGAATGGAGTTGACTGCTGCTTCTATAGAAATAGGAATGGCTGCTGCAAAAAAAGAGAAAAATTTGCTGCTACTACTGCAGGACAAGAAAATTTCGGTGAAGAAGATGCCTGTGGAGATAATTTGGTGGTGGAGGGTCTGCTGCTTGGAAGATTCTGGCAGCAGAGATTGAACAGATGAGATCCTACTTCGAAGGAGGGTCTGAAAATCATTTGAAGGGATTTTTACAGATGAGGGGGTTGTGGTGGACCGACTAGTCCTCATAGGGAGAGTGGTTGCCGCTCCTTTTTTTCTCTTCTCCCTTCTTCCCCTCTTTACTTCTTGGCACCTTTTTAATAATAGTCTTTCTAAATCATAATTTATTAATATTTTTATTCCTTTTTCTTAAATCTGAATTTTTATTATAATCCTATTCTTTTTCCTTCTCCTAGCACTTTCCTATTTTAAATTCTTTCCTGACATCTAAAACCCTGATTAAATTCTCCTTTCTTATTTTAAATCCTTTATTATTTTAAATACTTTCCCAAAATTTGAAAACCTGGTTATATTTTATTCTCCTTTCTTATTTTTATTACTTAAAATAAGTTTAGCGTCTTTATAAATAAGGGATGATATGATGTGCTTGGAGTAAGGAGTCTTGTCTTTTATTTCTGAAATAAGATTTTAGCCTTGGTATTTTCCCCTTCGAGGGCTGTATCTGAAGTCGAGGTAGTGCTCTGGCTGTCCTTCCTCCGAGGTGGTGTGGTCTTCAAGGGTTTAAGTGGTGTTTTGGCTGTAGCTCGACCTCGACGAGACATTTATCTTACCATACTTTCGTTTTCTTGCAACCATTTCAGAATCTAGCCACCACAACTCCCTTTTCCACTGCTGCTAGCCACCTTCCTGCTCCTGTCCAGCCACCACATTCTCTCCAACTTGTTGTCCAGCCCTTTCAGGCCCTTCCCGGCAGCTCGTCGACACTCGTACAACAGCTACTTGTTGTCCCAGCCTTTCCCATCCTAGCCGGTGCTTCTGCGCTCGTTGTCCACACCTTGAAAGTGTTGGCAAACCTTCCCAACTACTGCCCTACTTCTTCCACAGCCACCCCACTTCTCCGGCCTTCACTGCAGCCGTCAATGTAGCCACCAAAGATGGTCCTGTTTCTATTCAATTGCGGTTCGACGTCATTATTATTTCCGACCTGTTGTCCTACTTTGACAACATCCCCCACCTCTCCAGCCTTCACCGCAACCGTCAATCCAGCCTTCCCTCGCCGGACTCCCTCCTCATCAAGCGTGTTGTGTCATCTGTATCGAGGCATTAGTTGTAATAATTTGTTTTGTGCTTTTATTTTGTGTGTTGTCTTTCGTTGTTTCAAGTCTTCATTGTAACCTTGTTTTAAGTTTGTAGTAAAATTGTGTCCTGCGTTGTGGTTTGGGTTAACTTCGGTATCACGAGGGCTTGCAGTATGAAGATTTTCACTGAAGGGAGAGTTCTACTGCAAATAAAACATGGAATGGCCTGCATTAGCAGATATGATGGCCTGCATTAGCAGATATGACTGCTGGAAAGGTTGGGAAGGCTCCAAGTCAGGAAGGGCCCGCAAGGGACTGATGGTTGCAGGAAAGAGGAGCCGAGAAGGGCCGAGAGATTAGGGCTGCTGCAAGACTCAAACTTAGCCGAATGACACTTCAAACAAATTAGACACGCGACCAATGCAGTCAAGCGAGATGGTGGGGAAGATCTGAAGGAACAATTCATTCAACTTTGGTGATCGGACGAGATGAACAACTAGTAAGTGCGCTCCATTCGAATGGAGGAAACAATTATTGCTAGGGCACACAAAGTTCGATCGAGTGACGAACTGCATGCGTCGAGCGGTGCCCGAGACTCGTAGGACTTGCATGCAGAATTGTCGAGAAAAAGTGAGGTAGAGACCGGTGACACGAGACGAATTACATGCGTACAACACTGAAGACATAAACATCTGGTTAGCTTAAAGATATCAAAGGGAGAAGATACCGATGATAATTCGACTACAGAAGGCAGAGATGTCGTTGAAGACTTCAAAGGTCGAGACCTGCGACACAACTTAGCTTATGAGGATCGGAGCATTGAGTATGTCTCGACTTCGAAGATGAGTAGTGGTTGTGATGGACGAAGGAGTAATGCCTTTGATGCCATGTTGAAAACAGGTATGGGGAGGAAAAATACTTCATGCAATTTTCACATGTAAGGTACATACATATAGACAAACTAATGCCTCTAATTTATGAACTTACCAAATATATTTAGTCTAAATTTGGAAAGTCTGAAATAAAGAAACATTAAATAGAAAGGGAATAAAACTAAGAAATGTGTTTTCAAAGTTATCCCAAATCAAATCTTTCCATGATTTTGTAAAGCAGTCGACCGACCCACCATGAAGAGGAGCCGGACTTCTCAGCTTTCCACAATCCCTTAAATATTTGATTCACAATTTTCATTGGAAGGTTCTAGTAGGTATTTGGTTTTACAACTATAAACAGAAGTAGATATATGCTAATAAAAGGAGGCGCTGGAAAATTGAAATATGGCACTTATAGCTAACTTAAAAATACTTCTACCATTCACATGTTGCATTATTTATTTTATTTGATCATTTTAAGGGGCGATACTTTAATAAAAAAGTTATGTTTCCATTAATAATTATTGTGCCGATGATCTGTTGAGACTTTTTATGTGAACCACTACGCTTTTATTCTCATGAAGTTATCGGCTAATTTATATGTTTTATTTATTCCTAGGCAATTTTAATTTTCTTCCATGCAGCACATTAAAAATCATAACCATTTTTCCATCCTTAAGGCCTTTACACATTAGTCTAGAACCTTGAATTATAGATCAGATGATAACATCAATAGATGATATTATAAATAAGTCTAGAATCTTGAATTATAAGATCAGATGAGAATATCAATAGATGCTATTTATAAAGATACCCCTACACATGTTCAATCGGAGTTTTTATTTTATTTTATTTTTTTTGCACTTGCCTAAAAGAATCTTTTATAGCATCCATCATCCAGGATTTTATAGCAAACTTGGGAAATGTTTGAGTGGCAGATTGAAATCGGTGCATTTTACTTCTGACAATAGATAAAAGTTTCTTGAAATACTTTTTATCCATTTAGTATATCACAAAATTCCAAAGGGAGCAATTATGGACACGTGATACAGTTTGGTTTAATCGCCATTTCATAACTATAGTTCCATCATTTGTAGGAAAGATAGCGATGGATGCTGAATAGTCAGAGAATCAGTTGTATAATTTTGACTGCTTCTAGTGATTCTGTTTTCTTGATAATGGTATCGTTGTTAGGATGGATGGTGATCTGTGGTCTTCTTGTAATTTTTAACTCGTGTCTCTGATTCCATTTGCTACATTAAAAATATTAGTAAGATCAAGTTAAACTTTACATTATGGCCTCATAAATTGATTATTTGGCTTACAGAAGTTTCATGCCAGATTCACTGCAGGTGGATGTTGGAAACAACTTCAGACTCTTCATCTACATTGGAAATAAAAGTCGGTATGTTAATTTTTGATTTATTTCTGTTTGATTGAAATAATGTTCTATTGGACAAGTTTTTGATTTTCCGACAAACTTGTTCGCATTATGTGTCTTCATAGTTGAACGAAAATGCTATTTCTGCCATCCACAGGTGCCCATTTCAAGAAATGGTGTATCATGCAATCTAAGATCAAAACAGGAGCAGTTGACGAGGTCTGACTATCTAGTTTCATTTTAATGCATTGATTAATGGCTTGCTACTTAAAAACTGTCTTATTTTTAATCTGGTTCTTAGTTACTGTGTGGAGAGTTATGTCCATTATGATTTCGGTTGGGAACATATCTATGGCAGTGCTTCTCAGATACCATAGTTTTGAGATTATGTACAGCTATTATGTCCTGATATAGGAATTTAATGTCCAACTCTCCCTGGCTTTAGGTTTTGATTCGCATTGTCCATTTTAGTATTTCCCTAGTTGTATAGCACTTCTAACTAAAATAACTTCTTTTTGGATTCTTGGTACTCAAAACATTGGAGTTCTTGCGAAATAGAAATTATGCTCATTTTTATTTACCATCGAGCCAGTAGCAGTGGTTAGGTTGGCACTATTTTGACTTGAGATTATGGGATTAAATCACACAACCTTTCACTGCAAAGATGAATCATCAAACCTTCGTCTCAGACCATCAGTGCTCTGGGCACTATGCTTTCTGATGATATTTATCACATATATTTCTACCAAATGAAATTGGGTCTTAAGTTTTTTATCTAATGACTAACAAATCAATGCTCTGTCTTTTGTTAGACCATGAGCTAGATTTAGCAACAATGTTGTTTTACTTATGTTAAATGTTCCAATTAAAGTAGGCAACACTATGCAACTAATAGGTGCACTGTATTGATCAACCATGAGAAAAATGCAACTACAGCACAAATGCTCTAAACTCAGAGTGGCTATTCATGATCATGCAAAATGAAGCAAGTTGATTTAAATGAATGGATTACATTGGGAGTCCCTATAAAAATTCCTCCAGTTTGTCTTGTGGACTTACTAATAAATATTTCTTTTTTTAGGTATAAAATGTTTGTTTTCCATCATTACTTTTATTCAGCTGATTGCCTTCATAATTACATTTCAGTATTTTCTATAAATGCAAAGGTGTTCTAGGATCGTATAATTAGGCTCTATTACAAGTATAACTGATTTCAAGTGATTGAATCTTTATGAGAAATGCATAAGAGAAATACTTATCCTCCTTTGACTGAACTGGTGTCAGCCTCTTCGGGTGCAACCCACCCTGTAAATTATCTGTGTGTGTGTGTGTATTTCTGAAGAGCATGCTTGCCAACTTGGTCCCTGTTTCACAGTGCTTTTTGTAGTATCGTGTATCATCTTGATTGTCTGACATTCGTATAAGCTTTTGTATGAAGTCCCGTTCTACAAGCTTTTCTTCTTCTTTTTTATTCCTTTTTTTTATTAATTTCATTAACTTTCTTCAGCGTGCTGTTCTAATGTACTTTTGTTGGTAACAGTACAAAAAAGAGGTGGAGCTCATGTTGGATGTTGCACGATCATATCTCATTAAATTCAAGGGACCCAACCAAGTGGTGGTGGAAGCATCTTCTACTCCTTCAGAGTCTCAAGTGCAGGAATGACAATCATTTATAAAAGCTTGTTGGTTGCTCGATATTCCTTTTACAAAACCAATTATCCACCACAGATGACTAGATGACACAAAGCATTTGTTTTATTGCTCCGTGCTGCAATATTTTTCCATTGCTAGCCGACCTTTACATTGAAGAAGTTGTGGCTTGCAATACACATTCATACCATTATCTTGCTTCCCTATACTTACAGTTTCTACCTTCATGTACCTGTAGAACTCAGATAACATTATAGCAAATTGTTTTACTCACACGTGTTAGATTGCTTTGTTCTTCTGTAAAATTTACTCTTTTGCTTATAAGAGGGTTGTACGGTGTCATAGTTGATCTCGTACTATGATTTACTTGATTATTTCTGTTTCTGTTCGCATATTTAAGAGAACTCTGACAACATTTTGGTGAGAGTACCATGGTTTTGCTCGTTATATTTGTATCTTGACTTCAGAATATTTCTAGTTTGCACCATGGAGCTTGAATAAAATTACTTGGTGATTTTGTGGATATTTTTTTTTCTTTCCTTGTTCTCTTTCGTTTGCTGTAGATGGCTGTTTTGGTGGGACTTTTTGTTCCTTTGACACAGAAAATGTTAAAATCATAAAAGTTTCGTAAGGCCTAGTAGTAAATATTCCATTTGTAGTGCCAGGTTCCCTGCATATGATGAATTGAAAGCATTACTATTAGGAAAACAGCGTACATCACAGAGAAGTTCAGCTGAAAATTGAGAGCTACAAAGTTCTGCCAGAACATGTAGTGAACTGGAGTCACACGTGATCAACATTTATTGTTATGCCAACTCATCTCTTTTTTTTTTAAGTTAATGTCAAAACCCCATCTTTAATATATATATATATATATATTGGGCTGATTATGACTCCTCTCTCTGACACAAAAGCTTGCCAACCAGCATTCTCATTTATTGGGCTGATTATGACTCCCTCTCTCTGACACAAAAGCTTGCCAACCAGCATTCTCATTTGCTGTCTATATGGAGTGTTTTAGTTGGATTTGTTTTTTGTTCCCTTGAGGAAAGCGGAGTTGTGGTCTTAAAATGAGGGTGGGTGTAAATATATCATAAGCTAGGATTGGGTGAGAACGTAGTTATCTTTAGTCATTGCTATTGATAGTTTTGTAGAACTAATTAAGCTAAGCTCCCAATCCAGAAGCAATACAACAGCAAAAAAGGCACAAAACATTGCCAAACCACAATGTTAAAAAATTTTCAGAACTCTGATCCAACTATACTTAAGATGTGGATTGTTAGCATTTGTATACCGGCAATTTAGACGAACCCCTGCATCCCTGTAAGAACTTCCAGCCCTCCCATTTGACTCATTGAAAGGCCAAAGAACTTACACAGATTCTCTGACACTGCTGCGAATTCTCATGTAATCCTGATGCTATCCGTTGCAATCGTCTGCTGATCAACTGTAAGCACTGCTTGGTGCTTCAGAAACCTCCTGTAGTAGGAGCTTCCAAAACTATAGTTTATACCAGAAGCTGGATTCAAATAAACCATTTTATTTTTCTTGGTTTCAGGTGGGCATTTCTTCTTCAGCTGGCCCAGGAAGTTTGGGTCGATTGACCTATCGAGCTGAGCCGTGCCATTGAAGTTGTAGAGCCTGTCATGTATGTTGCTGCATTGTATCATCCCCACTGAATATGCTCCTGCATTAAAGGATTTTTTTTTTTCTGTTCAGGTAATCCATTTATAGAAATTCAATTGCTTTGTAGGTATCTCTTGATTGGCTGAGCTTATTACCTAGAAGAGTTCCAAGGTCGAGCTCATCAAGGTCCTGGGAGTTGAAGTATGCAAGTGCTTGTTTCCAGGTCACATCTGGCGGTGGTAGATCTACTGATTGTGCTGTGGACTGTAAACCATCTCGTCTCCCTGTATAAACCGGGTATATTGGTGCACCTGCCTGTGTGATGACAGATTTATCTCATGGTATTGCTAGAAATGATAAATAGTTTAAATTCGGACTGATTGGTCTGATATTCAGTTGGATGGGATCCTCACAGAGTTTTTGGCCAATTTGAATTTTGGATTGTATGGCACAAACTTAAAAAATCTGACTCAGATCGACATGAAAAACCAGGACTTCAACCTTCTAAGTTCCAGAGTTATTGTGCAGGATAAGTGCCTATTTTTCCAGAGTTAGTTTGAGTCCAACCATCGAAGTCAGTTCAAGGCTGGAGGGGAGTTAATGTTATAGAGGCTCATTCGGCTGAGTCATCTTCCTACCAAGATTGTTTTGGATCTTTGTGTAGGGTTATTATCGTTGCTTTGATTCATTTTGCTTGTTCTTACAGAAATCCTCTATAATGAAATTTAATGCTCAAGTAAATAAAGGTTTTATTCTGTTGCTTTGATTTTCAGAACTACTTGATTGTTTTATCAAATATGACTCCTTTTTTTTTTATTTTCTTACCCTTAGGGTGGTTATAGTCCACCCTATAAAATGGTTTTCCATAGCGGTTGTTCCACTTTTGTTATTTTTCTGTAAGTTTTTATGTTAGCTTTTACCATGATTGCTTCCTCTTGCACTGATCATATGCCTTTTATTGCGGTTGAGAGCTCGAGTATTTCAAAGATGACCTAAGAGCAATTCCAATCATTCAAACTAGATTATGTCTTTGATTGCTCCCTCCGTTTAAGGATGGCGAAGAAAAAGGTGGCAAATTTGTTGTATAATGATGAACTTCTAGTTTTATCATGACTAGTGCAGCCTCGGGCTTCGATTTCCACTGTCAAGAGCTAGTCGATACATTGGGTTGTGCTGAAATGTTTAGCTGGTACTAATGGTAAATTTGAGGTGTATGAAGATTCCATGGTCAATTAGCCTCTTTAGGTCACTTTTCTCCATAAGAGTATCAAAAGAGACTCGTCAAATTTTCCAGGAACAAGGTCGGACGCTAAGGCTTGGAGAAGAAAGTAAAATATTGAAAAAGAAATTTGTTTTGCTTCCTCGAAAGTGGCTGATAAAAATGAGGCCGACTCCCTTGTTTTCAACGAAGGTGAAAGTGAGGTTGTTGTATGAGGAGATTGAGTGTATCTTTAGTGAGGAGGGAGTCATAAAGAAAGGTTGAAAGGAGCAACTCGACCATACAACTACATGGATGAGTTTGTATCGAGTCATAAAGAAAGGTTGAAAGGAGGAACTCGACCATACAACTACATGGATGAGTTTGTATCTTTATTATATTTCTCCTTCCACCATGGTTATCTAAAAGAAGGGAATTGATGAATTGATGAATATTGAAAGAAGAGGATTTTGAGAGAATTAGGAACAAGTTAACCCTTGTATTCTATAGATATCACCTTATCTCATTTTCATGGAGCGGAACTTCTTGGGGAAGAATTAGGTCAACTAGGTGAAGTAGTGGGTGCTTCAGTTGCTCTTTTTGATGTTCATTCCATTCACTCCTTCCTCATGGCCGATGAATTCTTAGGGGTAGAAAATGAGGAGCCTATTGCAGATGGAGTTACTGTTAACTAGCTTCTCCCAAAATCACCACTAAGTCATGGCTCCCCGCTTCAAAAGGAGGGGATGGATTTGTAAGGAAAGCGAGGATGGTGAACAGACGTTGGTGAATCCGACGATAGACTAGAACATTAAATCAAGCCTTGGGGTGGTAGTAACCTGTCATTTAGGTTTAGTCGATTACTCACCTTCTTTGGCAGAAAACTTTAGTGGCATGGTTATGAGAACATTATCTCCGGAGTATACAGGCTACCCACACCTTGTTGACACCCTATAGATGAATGATTTGAGGTCCTTCAAAGAAGAAGAATTAAAAGGCCTATGAGAAGCTATTATCCGCATTGAAGGAGATTGTTGTATTGATGCTAGCCTCTCCTACGGTTTTAAAGTAGCTAACTCGATGTAGTGATATTGAAGATCATATTTGGTGATTGAGGGAGTTGATTACTATCATGAAGATTCTCGAGAAATCACTGAAGAACTTATTAAGAGTGCTTCTCAAATGACCACCCTCGAGAACAAGTTCAAGAAAAATATTTATTATTGCTTGGATCACCTAGTAAGAAATAACGCAGTCTCCCAAGAATGAATAAGTATCGAAAAACTCGAAAAACTTGAGAAATTGCTTACTAAATTTGGGGAGGAAAGTGAGGATGAGGAGAGGAGTGGGGGGATTGGTGAATGCAAGATGTAACATATTTTAGCAGTTCCTTCTCAACTGTCAGTTATATATTTTCAGCACTTCACATGAAGTGTCTTTATAGAACCATATAGATTTGAAGATTTAATTATTTAAATAATCAAATACGACATCAAAAGTAATATACTTTCGCGAGAGATAGAAATAACAATTTATGATCGGTCAAGTTATTTACATTAAGAAATATTAGATATTTGTATTCATCTATAATTAAAATTGATAAATGTTACACTAAGGTCTTTATATCACCTCTCTTCAAGATTTTTGATGAGACAAATCTCGTCAGAATATTGCACACCTTCGAGCAAGTCGTTGCAACGTGGGGGTTAGTGATGCTCTACTGTTCTGCAAATTCGTTAGCTTCCTGACTGGTGCCACTTTTGACTGGTATGCCAAACTCCCTGATGGGTATGTCATGACCTTCACCAAACTAGAGAATCTCTTTATTCAAAAGTTCACCGGAGCCTAGCATCACATTATCGTTGGCGACTTAGTGGTAGAAAAGCATAATCCAGGGTAAACTCTCATTAGATTACATTCTTTGATGGAGAAACCTCATCATGAAATTTGAACCCCAAGTTCAAGAGTAGTATCCGGTAGGTGTAAGTCTTTCACTGTGTTGTCTAAAAAGGATGTTAAATTCATATGAGATGACAATTTTCAACATGTTTTTGAAAGCATTAAACAACACTTAATTACACCTCCTATTTTAACAACCTATAGCTTGAGAAAACCTCTAATTTTTTATACTACAGCTTTAGAAGACTCCCTAAGAGTCTTGCTAACCCAAATCAATGATGAGAGTAAAGAAAATGCATTATATTACCTAAGTCATCATCTGATTCCAGCTGACGTAAGATATCCCTCGACTGAGAAGCATTGCTTGGCTTTAATTTTTATTGTCCAAATGCTCAATCATGATATTTTGTCTCATAAGGTGACTCATTTCAAGAATCAATTTGTTGCAATAGTGATGATCCAGCCAACATTTTTTGGATGACTAGTGAGATGGGCAATGGTATTGCGCCAATTTGACATAACCTTCATGCCTCTACGTGCCATCACGGTACAAATCCTGACAGAATTCTTAGCATTACATTTAATATAGGCAGGGTCCCCTCTCAATAATGACCTACTAGACGAACAAATATTGGAGCTAAAAGATCCATATGCTTAACGTTAGGAACTGTACTTCGACAGAGCTTCACCTTCCAACAATTACTAAGAGACATAAGTAATCATACCTGGTAACGTAGAAGTCAGACTAATTTTCATCACTCCAGACTGATCGATATTGCATTTTTCCTACCACCTGATTGAGCCATGTACAAACAACAAAGATGAATATGAAGCACTCATAACTGGGTTGGAGCTTACAATTATAGTTGGGATCAAAGACATCAACATTTACGGGGACTATCAACTATTCATTAACCAAGTTGATGGAAGGTATAAGGTTTTAAAGCCAAGGCTCAAGCAATACTTTCGTTACACAGTTAAATTGCTGGAGCGAATTTCAAATTGCACACTATTTAGAACTCCAAGAAGAGAAAACTCACTAGCAAACACTCTAGCAAAGCTTGCAAAGGAGTTCACATGCCCGGAGGAAGACCATATCCCAATTTTGGTGTAGAAACAACAAGTTCTGTCACAAGTCGACATGAACAATCTTCACAAAATTGGTGTCATACAATGGTAGCAGCCACTGAAGAAGAAAATGAAGATTAATGTCAATCATTCATCAAATACTTATAAATTAGAAAACTACCAGAAGACAAATCCATAATAAATCAAATTAGGAAACAAGCATTATCCTACACTTTAGTAGACCATGTTCTCTACCGAAGGTCCTTTGACCAAATGTGGTAATGATGCCTGAGGAAATTTGAAGCTCAAGGTATTGTTAAAGAAGTCCACTCAAGCCTGTGTGGTGCACACCAATAAGGGTCTAAAATGAAGTGAATATCAAGAGACTAAGATACTACTAGCAAACAATGATAACATATAACTTGAAGACAACCAAAAGGTGTCGCCAATGTCAAGTATACGGAGTGGTTTTACATCAATCTATAAATGTGCTACAATCAACAATTGCATCGTGGAGCACATATATAGTGGACTCTATAGACCTTCAATGCTCCCTTGGTCACTATTTTATTCTTGCTGCCACAAATTATTTTTCCAAGTGGGTGGTAGCTATACCGCTCAGGAAGGTCAAGGCAAACTATGTGTTACAATTCTTCAAGAATCATATCATCTATAGATTTGAAGTTTTTTAAAGAATAAATTTAGACAATGGCACAAGGTTTAAAAACATGAAAATAGACAACTTTGTTCAAAGATACCTAATAGATTTGAGATACTAGCCAATCTATTACCCCAAAACCAATGGTATAGCTAAACATTCAACAAGACTGTAGTACAAATTTTGAAAAAGATGCTAACCAAATACAATACAATGACATGAACAACTACTAGAAGCCTTGTGGGCCTACCGAACAACATACAAAACACCAACACAATCAACACCGTTTGCTCTAGTGTATGGGTATGAAGCCATACTTCTGTTTGAGGTGCAGCTCTGACATGAAGAAGGGAATGCAAAGCTTTGGCATGAAGAACTTGATAGTTTGGAAGGCAAACACTTGACAAAATATAGAACTATATCAAGCTAGAATGATACAAGCACATGACAAGTTGGTTCGCTCGAGAACATTTAGAGTCAGTGACTTAGTGTTAGTGCTGCAAGGACCTATTCTTGCTCATCGCAAGACTGGAGAAAAATTTGAACCAACATGTGAGGGTCTATTCGTCATTAAAAAGGCGTGCTAAGGGGGATTCTGCCAACTTGTCAACAGTAAAGGAGAAAGATTTGTGCCTCCAATCAAAGGGCAATACTTGAAGAAATATTATGCAACATGAACATATTCATATGTAAACTGAGTGAATCCAAAACAAATACAATAATAAAACATAAAATCATGCTTTAATCCTTCTCCTGAGATTTCTCTTAGTGTTTAAGATTCTAACTTCAAATCCCCATTCGCCCTTTTGGGTTATATTGAAATAAATTCTTTTTTCCGATAAAACAAAATAAAATTCTCTAAAAACGATGAATAAAATAAAATAAAATAAACAAGAACAAATAAAAAAAATTAAATATTTATTTTACTCATGAACTTAGCACACTAACGTTCTTCATGTTGTTTGCAGGAAAATGTTGGAAGATAGACTAACCTTTAGTTTTCGAAATGATGTCAACGTGGTTTTGGACTGGAGATGCACAGAGTACAGCTCAATCATACATTTCGACCTCAACATGGACCATGTGGAGTTACTTTATTAGGGGCTTCTACTAACAATAGTTGCCTGAGAGGAGGTCCATGGGAAAAATCTGTCCTAGAGATTCGTTCCCGATAAGGGAATGTAACGAAGAGGAAGCCAGAGAAGACTGTTGATCTCAATTTTATATGACAGTACGATGTATGCAGTTGCAATCTTAATTTTTTCCTTACTTAAATTTCTCTTTGCAAGGACTACCAAAAACTTGACTTTGAAGCAAATAAGAATGCAATTATTATAATTAATTACTGGTAATATAGTACTTTTTTATACATATCGCTATCAAGTAATATAGTACTTTTTTTTACTGGATATTGTGCAAGTATACATATCGCTATCAAGTAATATAGTACTTTTTTATTAAGCCCCAATTATCGAACACGCAGGGAGAAATATGACAGCGACATATATGCTTAAAAGTACAAGAATTTGATACTGCTGCTAGAAGATTTAAATCCCCGATAACGGTGCCAAAAACTTGATAACAGTTATAGATTTGATAAAAATGTGTATAAAATATTCAATAATTGCAAAGTCACACTTATCAACGTAAGTATACGTATCACTCAAGTAATACAGGGCTCTAATAGAGTCCTGGATATCGATCCCACAGGGAGAAATATTAGAGGCTACGAACTAAGATTTAAAGAAATCAATACTTAATCATAACAATATAGTTCAATTTATATATTTGTCACTAATAAACAATTGAAATAAAAATAAAAATTTAATAAACTCTTAATTAACTAATTCTACTAATAAAGTTGCTAATGTGAAGTTTTAAAGAAGATTAATTAATCCTATGCTTGGTTACTGAATTTACGGCTAGGCTGGGGGATAACGGGTCTCAACTCGGG